TAAATGTTTATGGGAGCAGAAAGCCTTATCTTTCTCCCACGGAACAGCTGGTAGTTTTGAACTGCTGACCTTGCGTTTCGCAGCCTGATTCGTAATCACAACGCTACAGTTGTTGGGCATAATTTTAAATACTAGTAGTATTAACTGGTCTACCCTGTATTCACATCAACATTATCCTATCATAGATAGCATTGTACCTCATGACTGATCTGGATATGTTCTTTTTAACAATGAATGCAACATCATTCCTTTTCAATTTGTCATTTCCCCTCATAGTAAACCATGTGGTTGACAGATTCAAAATGGCTAATACCAGTCCATCTCAGCTCACTAATGCCTAAGATATCGATGTTTATGCATTCCATTTCATCTTTGACAATTTCCAATTTTCCTAGATTCATGCTTCGTACATTCCATGTTCTGATTATTAATGGATGTTTACAGCTGTTTCTCTTCATTTTGAGTTGTGCCCCATCAGCAAATGCAGATCCCACAGTCTTTACCTCCATGGGCTTTACTTCATTCACGTCATCATGATCACCTCTACTTTGAGGAGGCAGCTCTTCCCCAGTCGCGTTTTGAGTGCCTTCCAACCGGAAGGTCTCGTTTTCCAGCACTGTATCTGACAGTGTTTCTCTGATATTCATAAGGTTTTCAGTGACTAAATATTCAGCAGTAGTCCATCACTACTTCTTCCTAGTCTGTCTTTGTCTAGAAGCTCATCTGAAACCTGTCCATCATGGGTGTGACCCTGCTGATATTTGAAATATTAGTGGCATAGCTTGCAGAATCACAGCAACTCACAAATTACCACAGTACAACAAACTGACAGACAAGTTGTGGAAGTACTGAATAAATTTGTTAAAATATTTCAATTTGTGTTCCATCAATTTCCAGAGTCTTGTTCTTTCCCAATGCCTTTAGTACACCTTAGTCTTCTTCCATAGTACTATTGACTCTTGATTATATGCTATCTTTTGAAATGGATAAACATCATCCACTTCTTTGGGGGTGTGTACAGTGACTGTGTATTCCTTCCATCTTCTTTTGATGCTTTCAACATTGTTAAATATTTTGTCTATAAAATCCTTTAATATTAGCTTGATTTTTTTCTTCACTTCTTCAATTTGAGACATGCTGAATGTCTTCTTCCCTTATGGTTTTCTAATACCAGGTCTTGCACATTCCATCATAATACTTGATTTTGTCTTCTCAAACTGCTCTTTGAAATTTTCTGTTCAGCTCTTTACCTCCTCATTTCTTTCATTGCTTTAACATCTCTTTCATATATTGAAATGTTTAGGAGTATCTTCTGACACACATTTGGTCTTTTCCTTGTCTCTCATCTTCTTAATGACCTTTTGCTTTCTTTCTGTATGATGTTCTTGATGTAATCCCACAATTCTTCTAGTCTTCAGTCATTTGTGTCTAATACATCAAATCTATTCTTTAGATTAAATTTTAAATTCAGGTGGGATATATTTTGCCTATAGTTGACTTGTTCAGTTTCAAGCTGAACTTACATATGAGCCATTGATTCTACAGTCTGCTCCTGGCCTTTTTGTGGCTGATATATGGGGCTTTTCCACTATGTCTTTCCATGTTGTTGTTGTTAGGTACCATCAAGTTGATACTGACTCATAGCGACCTTATGTACAACAAAATGAAACACTGTCCGGTCCTGGGCCAACCTCAAAATAATTGCTACAGTTGAACCCACTGCTGCTGACACTGTGAAAATCCATCTCACTGGGGTCTTCCTCTTTTTCTCCAACCCTCCACTTTACCAAACATGATATCCTTCTGCAAGACCTTGTCCCACATGATGTTGTTGTTGTCAGGTGCCATTGAGTCGGAACCGACTCATAGCGACCCCATGCACAGCAGAACGAAAACAATGTCCGATCCTGGGCCAACCTCACTACCGCTGCCACACTTGAGTCCATCAATGATGCCACCTGGCTGATCCATCTCGTTGGGGGTCTTCCTCTTTTTCTCTGACCCTCCACCTTACCCAGCATGACATCCTTCTCCAATGATTGTTTCCTCCGGACAACATGTCCAAAGTAGGAGAGACGAAGCTTAGCCATCCTGGCCTCCAAGGAGCACTCTGGCTGCACTTCTTTCAAAACAGATCTATTGTTTTTTTTTGGCAGTCCATGGCACTTTCAGTACTCTCCTCCAACACCACAACTCAAAGGCATCAATTCTTCTACGATCTTCCTTATTCACTGTCCAGCTTTCGCATCCATATGAGGCTATTGAAAACACCATGGCCTGGGTCAGGCCCACCTTAGTCCTCAAGCTGACATCTCTGCTCTTCAATAGTTTAAAAAGTTCCTGTGCATCAGATTTGCCCAGTGCAATACGTCGTCTGATCTCTTGACTGCTGCTTCCGTGAGTGTTGATAGTTGATCCAAGAAGAATGAATCCTTGACAACTTCAATCTTTTCTCCATTGATAAGAATGTTGTTTATTGGTCCAGTGGTGAGGATTTTTGTTTTCTTGACATTGAGATGTAATCCATATCGAAGGCTGTGCTCTTTGATCTTCATAAGTAAATGTTTTAAGTCCTCTTCACTTTCAGCGATCAAGGCTGTATCATCTGCATATCGCAGGTTGTTAATGAGTCTTCCTCCAATCCTGATGCCACGTTTTTCTTCATAGAACCCAGCTTCTCGTATTATTTGCTCAGCATACAGGTTGAATAAGTATGGTGAAAGAATACAACCCTGTCTCACACCTTTCCCAATTTTAAAACATTCAGTGTTCCCATGTTCTGTTCGAACAACTGCTTCTTGGTCTAGGTACAGATTTCTTAGAAGTACAATTAAGTGTTCTGGAATACTCATACTTCCCAATGTTGTCTATAGCTTGTCATGATCCACACAATCGAAAGACTTTGCATAGTCAATAAAGCACAAGTAAACATCCTTCTGATATTCTCTGCTTTCAACCAAGATCCATCGGATATCAGCAATGATATCTCTCGTTCCACGGCCTCTTCTGAATCCAGCTTGAACCTCTGGAAGTTCTCTGTCAATGTAGGATTGTAGCCATCTTGGGAAAGCTTATCTTGATTGTACCAGGATTGATAGGATTAGGAGAGAACATCTTGATTGTATCTTGATTATATCTTATATATATCTTGATTATATCAGGATTGATAGGATTATACCAGGATTGATAGGATTAGGAGAGAACATCTTGAGTTTTGTTAACAATTTGATATTAATCCTGAATTCAAATTCATTGTCTTCCACAGCACAAAAAGTATAATTTTTGGAAGACACCCAATGGGGAATAAGTGTAATATTGAGATAATTTGTCCACAGCCATCCAGTGATAACAGAGTCATATATAAATATGTGTCATTTGGAGTAAACCTGTGCATGTATGAATGAGAACACAGTAGCAATACTTTTTGACTTAATCCTATTGAGCAGAAAACTATCAATATCTTTTCTTAGAAAAGTAGGAAGGCTCCACCAACAAACCAAAATAGAAAAATAACTTTAAAATGTGGTCTACTGATAACAGAGACCCAATGCTATTTTTTTTAAGTTTGGGGAGATTATCAAAACAATAGAAAGATATATGGTTACTTATAAGAACAGTTTAAAGTCATAATGTCCCTATAGAATGAGAGAACAATTGTTTTGTTTATTTTCACAGAACCAATGATAAAATATGGAATTGTTGTGGTCTGAATGTGCTTTTAAAAATATCAAATACAAATAATTACTCTGATCTAAAATAATGACTTACTCGATTAGTAAAGCTTATGTTTTAAAGATATGGTGTTTATGTCTGGTATTTGAGGTATGTCTTAGAGATAAAATGATGAAAATACTAGTGCTTCCATTGGATACATACACTTACCTAGAATTCTAAGAGATTTAGGATCTGTAGTCACAGATCCTGAATGGTTACTCAGCATCTGATATAAAATGCTTTCAATTCTTCTTTTTGTATTTTCCTTCATTGCTCTGGATCCCTTGAATACCAGCCATATCTGAGCTGTCACACTATTGCTATCAGGACTAGAAAAAATAAAAAACAATGACACCATTTTTATATATTTCCAAAAAACAGCATTTTTTTACCTCTTTCCCTAATCTTTTAATTGTATAAAACTGTGGTTGGATAGATTCTTCTGACGGTGGTGTTCAGGCTAGAATTGTTTGGAATTGGTAAAGACTAGCGACCTGAAAGCTTGGCCAGTAGACATGTAGGAACTGTCAAGTAGATCTCAGTCTACTTTATTATACCTAAAGGGGCCCTAGTGGAGCAGTGGTTAAAGCACTCAGCTTCTAACTGAAAGATTGGTGATTCAAACCCTTTAGTCACTCCATGGAAGAAAGAAAATCTATTTTCATAAAAATTTACAGCCTTGAAAACACTATGGTGCAGTTCTATTTTTTCTTATAGAATTACTCTGAGTTGAAATCAGCTTAATGGCAATCTATTTTAAGTGATGCCTGAAGGAACATTGGTAGCATGATGGTTAAGCTCTCAGTAACTAACAAAAATTTTGACAGTTCAAATCCTACAGCTGCTTCACTAGAAAAAAAATCTTGGCAACCTGTTCCTGGAATGTTTACAACCTAGAAAACCCTGTAGGGCCATTCTACTCTTTCCTTTAGGCTCACTGTGAGTTTGAATCAACTTGACAACACTCAACAGCAACAAGGGATGCACAACATTTTTAATACAAATTTAAAATTATATTATAGGTCCTCAGCTCTCACAATTTGATTTCTATAGTAGAATGTACCAAAGTGACAAATTTTGTCCTGTGACCTTTTTCCCTAACTTTATCTGGAGGAACCTGATGCATGAATAGAAAAACAAAACAGAAGCTTTCTGTGGTTGCAGCTACTTTTGAGATGCACTTGGATCCATCAATTTTAGTCTTTTATTTTAGTCCAGCAGTACAACAGACCCTCAAGGATAATGCTGACTGAAACCTAAATTCATTCTGCAAATCCAAGAATCTCATGAGTCCCAAGAAGAGGGGAACAAGAATGAATAAATAGTCTGGTGACACTGATGGGGGCAAAAATAGCTAATAGGCTTCATTTCAAATGTATATATTATTTGCAAATGATCTCATACCCACCGTCACCTTTGATCCTGAGTGCCTTCCTATGAGGAAGGCAAAGCAGTTGCCATTGAGTGGCTTCTGACTTGTGGCAACCCTATGTTTGTCAGACTAGAACTGTGGTCCGTAGGATTTTCAGTGGCTGATTGTTTTAAAGAACATTGACAGATATTTCTTCTGAGGTGTCTCTGAGTGGACTTGAACCTCCAACCTTTCAGTAATCATTTACACAACTGAGGGGGCAAGGGTAGGTGTTATTAATGTTTCATAGATGGGAGAATAGACTTGAAGAGGTATAGTGACTCTCTCAAGGTTCTAAGACTAGTAAGTTAGACTAGTACTTAGACAAGTAGTCTAACTTACTAGTAGTAGTAAGACTAGTAAGTTAGACTAGTAGTATAACTCCAGTTTTAGGTCTTTCTCTATTATTCCATGCTGCTCCACACCCATATTTTCTGGAACACAGCAGAAACAGTTTATTTCTCCTTACAGAAAACAGAAGTTATACCTCATGTCGATACACTCTTCTAGCATTATGGAGAATGGAAGTTATCCCTCATGTAGATACACTCTAGGGGCAGTTCCACAAGATATTTAGCTCATTTCTAATCAGAAAAACAAAAGAAAATGGGGTCTATATTTATGGTACAGGCATTGATAATTGAAACATGGATTGTACAAAGTATGAATCTATGAAAATTGGAAATTGTTGGAAATGAATTGGAATGCATAAAGATTGATCTCCTAGGCATTAGTGAGTGGAAATAAACTGGTATTTGCCATTTTGAATCTGACAATCATATGGTTTACTATGCTAGGAATGATAAATTGAAAAGGAATAACATTGCATTCATTATCAAAAAGAACATTACAAGATCTATCTTGAAGTATACTGATGCTTGTGATAGGAAAATTTCCACACACATGCAAGGAAAATAAGTTAATATCACTGTTATTCAAATTTATGCACCAACAAACTAAAGCCAGTGATGATGAAATTGAAAAATTCTACCAACTTCTTCGCTTGGAAATTGAACAAACATTCAATCAAGAAGCATTGGTAATTACTGATGATTAGGCTGCAAAGGAATGCAAAGAGAAAGGATACGTAGTTGGAAAATATGAGGTTGATGATAGAAATCATGCTGGAGATCAGTTGATAAAATTTTGCAAGACCAATAATATAATCATTGCAAGTACCTTTTTTAAACAACATGAAGAAAACTATACACATAAACCTCACCAAATGGAATATATAGAAATTAAATTGACTGTATCTATGTGAAGAAATGGTGGGAAAGCTCCATATCATCAATCAAAATCAGGTCAAAGCCACTGTGGACTAGACCATAAATTGCTCATCTGCAAGTAGCTTAAGGCTAAAAATATTTTAAATGTCCATGAGAGCCAAAATTTTGCCTTGATCATATCCCATGTGAATTCATAGATCATGTCAAGAACAGATTAGATGTATTAGACACTAATGACCAAAGACCAAAAGACTTGTGGGATGACATCAAGGACATCATATAGGTAGAAAGCAAAAAGTCATTAAGAAGACAAGAAAGAAGGAAAAGCCCAAAATGGATGTCAGAAGAGACTCTGTAACGTGCTCTACAGCATAGAGTTGCTAACGTCAATGAAAGAAATGAGGAAGTAAAAGAGCTAGACAGGAAATTTCAAAAGGCAGCTTGAGAAGACAAAGTCAAGTATTATAATGAAATGTGAAAAGTCCTGGAGTTAGAAAACCAAAAGGGAAGAACACATTCAGCATTTCTCGAGCCGAAGAAGTGAAGAAAAACTTCAAGCCTAGACTTGTAATATTGAATAATTCTACAGGCAAAATATTGAATTACACAGAAAACATCAAAAGAAGATGGAAGAAATGCAGAGAGAGTCACTGTACCTAAAAGAAATGGTTGATGTTCAACCATTTCAAGAGCTAACATACAATCAAAAAGAAATTATACTGAAGGAAGATGCCCAAGGTGCACTGAAGCCATTGGCAAAGAACAAGGCTCTGGGAGTTGATGATACACAAATTGAAATCTTTCAACCAACTTGTGCAACACTGTAGGTACCCCACTTATCTATGTCAAGAAATTTGGAAGACAGCTACCAGGCCATCTGATTGGAAGAGATCCCTATCTGTGCCCATTCCAAAGAGAGGTGACCCACTGGAATATGGATATAGTCATAAATTATCATTAATATCACATGCAAGTAAAATTTTGCTCAAGATAATTCTAAGGATTGCAACAGTATATTGACAAGGAACTGTCAGAGGTTTAAGCCAGATTCAGATGAGGACATGGAATGAAGTATATCATTAATGAATGAGGGATATCATGAATGGATCTTGGCTGAAGGCAGAGAATATCAGAAAGATGTTTATGTGTTGTTTACTGACCGTGCAAATGCTTTCAACTCTATGGATCATGACAAGCTAAGGACAACATTTAAAAAAAAAAAAAAAAATGAGTATCCTGGAACATTTAATCGCACTTTTCAGGAACCTGTACGTAGACCAAGAGGCACACATTTGAACAGAGCAAGGGAAGGCTGAATGGTATAAAATCAGGAAAGCTGTCTGCCAGGGTTGTATTCTTTCATCATACATATTCAATCTGCATGTTGAGAAAATAATCCAAAAAAATGGATTACATGTGACATGAGTATTGGAGGAAGACTCATTAACAATCTGTAATATGCAGTTGCTACAACCTTCCTTACCAAAAGCAAAGAGACTTAAAATACTTACTGATGAAAATCTAAGATCACAGCCTTCAGTATAGGTTGCACTTCAATGTAAAGGAAACAAAAATTCATACCACTAAACCAATTTTTAAAAAACTTCATGATTATTGGAGAAAAGATTGAATTTGTCAAAGGCTTCATTTTGCTTGGGTCCACTGTCAATACTCATGGAATCAAGAGTCAAGAAATCAAATGACCTATTATTGCACTAGGCAAATCTGCTGCACAAGACCTCTTTAAAGTGCTTAAGAACAAAGATGTTTGAGGGCTAAGGTGCTCCTGATCTATTTTTAGTAGCTTCACATACATGTGAAAGTTGAACAATGAACAAGGAAAATCATAGAAGAATTGATGTATTTGAGTTATGGTGTTGGAGGAGAATATTAAAAGTACAATGGACTTCTAAAACAAATAAATCTGTGTTATAAGAAGTACAGCCAGAGTGCTCTTTAGAAGCCAGGATGGCCAGACTTTGTCTCTCATATTTCGGACATATTATCAGGAAGACCAGTCCCTGGAGAAGGACATCATGAAAGGTAAACTGGAGGGTCAGCAAAAAAAGAAGAATAGCCCCAATGAGATGGACTGGCACAGTGACAACTGCAATTGGCTCACACATCACACTGATTGTGGACGTCAAAGGACCAGGCAGTGTTGTGTTCTGTTGCACATAATTTCGTTATGAGTCGGAACCAAGTTGTCAACACATAAGAATAACAACAACAAATGAAAATGTTTTAAGTATAAAATATTGGTCAAATGTTTACAAACATAAAAACTTAAACTATAAGGATAAATAATTATCTGCTGTTTAGAAATGAATGCATTCTCAGTAGATCTAATAAATCCAATGTGATAGCTTATTCTTGTATTCAGTTGCATATTGATTAACTAGGCTTTGAGATAATAGTGAGTATTAGTGACTTATCAGATAATGACTGTAAAATATGAATAGACTCACTACAGTGGAAACTGAAGTATAGTTTAATGCATGGTGGGTTGATCACTTTTCTGAATGGTAATGTTAGTTACTTACACCAATGTGATGACTTGAGAATTGATATATTGTCTGTAAATATCAGAATTGTCAAATGCATCCATCATCTGTTATAAGAGAAAAGAGTCACACGTAGAATTCCAATGACATGTTTATATTTTAGAGAATATACAATGAAACAAATAATGGGAAAATGCTAACTTACCTTGGTCTCAAGAATTTTGCTAAGTCGGTTAGTTTCTTGTGAAGTCTCTCTTTTATAATTGCTATTATATGGGATATTCAACACTTTAAAGCTACCTTGATAATAGTAGGTCCTGTTTTCTATGAAATAAAAAAAAATCCAAAAATTATTTAAATTAAGTAAGCTTCAAATCCAGATATATCAATATATTAATATCAACTAGTAAGTACTGTGCTCATATTAGATATTTATAAACCATTATGTATCCTGCTGGCACATTATCACTTGTCCAACACTTAGTAATACTATAGTGGCTTGTGTGTTGCTTCTGTTAATTGCGGTCAAGTCAGTTCCGACTCATAGCGACACTATATAGGGTTTCGGAGAAGCTGAGTTTGAATCACCACCCTTGCAATTCAAATGGCCTTGAGGTTCAGTGCTTATCCTACAGCAAAGCACCAGTGTTTTAAATATCAGCAAAATCAATTGTGCATACATAGTGAACAAATTTCAGCAGAGTTTCCAGATGAAGACAAACTAGAAAGAGAAGTTGGAGATCTATCTGAAAACATGGGTCTGTAAAAACCTTTTAACTAGCAGCAAAACCTTGTCATTATGGATTGCACCTTAATGTAATGAAAATCCTCACCACTGGACCAATTAATAACATCATGATAAAAGTAGAACAGATTAAAATTTCCAAAGCCATCATTTTGCTTGGATCCAAAATCAATATTCATGGAAGCAGCAGTGAAGAAATCAAACAACATTTTGCACTACAAACGACCTCTTTAAAGTGTTAAAGACCAAAGATATCAGTTTGAGGATTAAGGTGTGCCTGACCCAAGCCATAATATTTTCAATAGCTTCATATGCATGTGGAATTGGACAATGAATGAGGAAGGCTGTAGAAGAATTGATGCATTTGAATTATGATGTTGGCAAAAAATATTGTAAGTACCAAATAAATCAGCCAGAACACTCCTTACAAGTAAGGATGGTGGGACTTTGCCTCTCATTCGCTGGACATGTTGTCAGGAGAGACCAGTCCCAAAAGGGATAGTAAAAAAGAAGAAGAACCCAATGAGGTGGATTGACACAGTGACAACAACAATGAGCACAGAGACACCAATAATTGTGAGAAAGGTACAGCAGCAGTCGGCATTTGTTTCTGTTGGGTATAATGTCACTATGTGTTAACAGCAACTTGACGGCACCTAACAATAATAGTCTTAAAACTATGAGCATTGTAGACGAAAATGCTTAATAATAGTTTAGTGAAGAAAATCACTAGATTCAGTAAAGCAATTGAAGTGATAAATAATACTATCGATATAAAAGTCACATTGGAGATATCAGACATATAAATAGAAAACCTTGTTATCTGAAGAAAATAAACAAAATAGAATGGAAATTAAAATAATATAAAATTACTTTTGAGGGAATCAGCAACATGGGAAGAAAAGCAAACACAACAAATGTATAACCGATGTTCCTGAAAAAAGAACTGAACAATATAATTTGAATTGCTAGCTTAAATGGGCCCATTGTGTTCTAAGAACTGTTTGTGCAGGATGAACATAAAACGAAGACCAGTTGGATTCGTAAATCCAATAAACACAATATCCTATAAATATTCAAGGAGAGTGAACCATGGCAGCATAGTGTGTTATAAACAGGGCTGCTAATCCCAAGGTCAGCAGTTAGAATCTACCAGCTGCACTGCAGAAGAAAGATGAGACTTTCTGCTCCCATGAAGATTTACAGTCTCAGAAACCCTGTATAGGGTTGCTATGAGTCAAAATTGTCTTCGTGGCCCACCATCACCACCACTGCCACCACCATTCAAGCAGGAAAAAAATGACAAAATAAGTTATATTTATGTTTTCAAGAGGGAAAAGTTGTGCTCTTCTTTTTAACAATAGCTCATTACCATTGAGTCTACTTCAAACCATAATGACCCTTAGAACAAAACAGAACTGCTCCTTTGAGCTTCTAAGACTTTAAATCTTTACAGAAGTTAAGAGTGTCATCTGTTTCCCACAGAACAGACTGTTGCTGTTAGATGCCACCCACTCGTAAAGACCCTATGCACAACAGAATAATACACTGCCAGGTCCTGGGCCAAGCTCACAATCCTTGCTATACTAGAGTCCATTGCTGCTGCTAATGTACCAATTCATCTCGTTGGGAGTTTTCTTCTTTTTTGCTGACCTTTCATTTTACCAAACAGGAGATCCTTCTCCAGGTACTAGTCCCTTCTGATATTACGTCCAAGGTACGCTAGATGAAATCTGGGTATCCTGGTTTCTTACGAGCATTCTTCCAACACAGATCTGTTTGTTCTTTGGATAGTCCATGGACTTTTAATATTCTTCTGCAACACCATAACTCAAATACATCAATTCTCCAATGTCTTCCTTATTCACTGTTAAACTTTCACATGCATATTAGGCTATTGAAAATACCATGGCTTGGGTCAGGCATATCTTAGTCCTCAAACTGAAATCTTTGCTCTTGAACATTTTAAAGAGGTCTTGTGCAACAGATTTATCTAATGCAATATGTTGTTTGATTTCTTGACTACTGTTTCTATGAGTGTTGATGGTTGATCCAAGAAAAATGAAGTCTTTGCTAATTTCAAACTTTTTTCCATTTGTTGTTGTTGTTATGTGCCGTGGAGTCGGTTCCAACTCACAGCGACCCTGCACAGGGTTTGTGAGGCTGTAAATCTTTACAGGAGCAGAAAGCCTCCTCTTTCTCCCACGAAATAGCTGGCAGTTTTGAACTGCTCACCCTGAGGTTAGCAGCCTGATTCGTAACCACTGCACTACCAGAGCTCCTTGTGATTTATTGATCCAGTGGTGAGGATTTTTGTTTTCTTTACATTGAGGTGTAACCTATGCCAAAGACTGTGGTCTTTGATCTTCAGAGCAGATTGGGTGGTGGGTAAGTCCAATGCTTAACCCACTGTATAACCAGGATCCCATTTTTTAAACTATACTAAATGCCAAAGGCACTCTAGTAATGTAGTGGTTACGAATCAGGCTGTGAACCTTAAGGTCAGCAGTTCGAAACTACCAGCTGTTCCGTGGGAGAAAGACAAGGTTTTCTGTTACCCTAAAGATTTACAGCCTCGGAAACCCTGTACAGGGTCGCTATGAGTCAGAATCAACTCCACAGCACATAACCACCACTAACTACCACCACCAAATGCCAAAGGAGTGCTGGTGTGGTGCTGCAGGATAATGCACTGGACTGCAAGGTTGGCTTGAACCACAACATCAGTGTTTCAAAACCAGCAGCCACTTTTCAGAAACCCTACATAGGTTCACTATGAGTCAGAACCAGTTCAATGGTACTTAACAACAACAAATGCCAAAAGACAATGGAGAAAGTTTACGACATTTTAAGGAAAATATAATATAGAATAAAATATTTTTGCCTATCCAAGTGGTCTGAGAAATATAAAAGCCACAGAAAGTCATTGTAGTGCATCCTGGTGTTGTTGCTAAGTGCCACTGAGTTGGTTCCAACCCAGAGCGACCCTGTATAGGGTTTCAGAGGAGCTGCTGGTGAACTTGACCTGCCTACTTTGTGGTTCAAACTGACTTTGCAGTCCAGAGCATAAATTACAGGAATGACAGCCAGTAGTTTAAAATCAAAAGGAATGACTTTAAGAAGATTCATACTCAACATGTATACTAATTAAAATAAATAACTCAAGAATCTTGTCATTGAACCAGTTATTTTGCTGTTATTGTTAAGTGCCATCAAGTCAATTCCTACTCATAATAACCCTGGATAGGGTTTTCGAGAAGTAGCTGGTGGATCTGAACTGCTAATCTTGTGGTTCGCAATCCAGTACTGACCCTACGATGCCACACTAGGAGTTGAGTCGGAAGGATTTAATAAATGTATTTAAATGTGTTTCTTTCCTCCAAGTCCTCTTAAACTGGTAATAAAGCCTTTTTGCTTTTTGTTTTGAACAAGTGAACCCACAGGACAATGATAAGGGGAGAGGGGATAATAACAGCGTTGTGAAAGCTGGAGGCAGGTAGGTGAGTGTTAACTGATTTAACAGACCTGTGAAACCTAAACCCAAAGGCAGAAGTGTAAAAACCAAATATATATGTTCTTTTGCACCAAAGTGCAACAAACAGGTGGCCCACACATATCTAGACATAGGGGTGGAACTGAGATTAACCATTTCATGACAAAATTATTTTCTGTTTTAAATTTTTTTCATTAAAATCATGTGTCTTCAGTAGTGGAATGCATCCTAAAATCAAGGAGGAAACTTTTAAAATGTAATATGGATTTTGATCTAATTTTGTGGAACACGTATTTCCCAAGTAGACTCTGGTGGTGAGATTTGTGGGGTGAGGCCTATTCACACAATTATACAGGTCCCTGCAAGGTAGTAGCATATACTGCAATTGGAATAGCAAATTCCCAAGAAACCTGTGAGACTGAAAATGTTGGTAGATAATATATGCCCATGGATCACAAAAGCATTAAAACAAAGAATATTGGTGGGAATAGGTATTTCTCAATGTATCCTCCAATTACTAAAGTTTGTAGATCAAAGAGACCAACACAATTAAAAGCAGGTATACACCCTCGGAAACCCTATACAGGGTCGCTATGGGTCGGAACCGACTCGATGGCACATAACAACAACAACAACAACAACAATACCAAACTCAAAGTTTATAAAACTTTTTTTCCAACTTAATCCGAGGAAGCCAGAATGGCCAAACTTTATCTCTTGTACTTCAGACATATTATCAGGAGGGACCAGTAACTGGAGAAGGATGTGTTTGGTAAAGTGGAGGGTTGGAGAAAATGAGGAAGATCCCCAACTAGATGGATTGGCACAGTGAGAGCAGCAATGGGCTCAGGCATGGCAACAATTGTGAGCTTGGCCCAGGCCCAGGCAGTGTTTTGTGTTGTTGTGCACAGGGTCACTATGCATTAGTATTGAGTCAATGGCACCTAACAACAACAACAATAATCCCTGAAAGCTAATTGTTGTCACTGTTGTTAGGTGCAATCAAGACAGTACCGACTCATAGCAACCTTATGCACAACAGAATGAAACACTGCCTGGTTTTGCACCAACTTCATAATCACTGCCACACTTGAGCCCATTGCTATGGTCACTGTGCCAATCCATCTCATTTGGTGGATTTCCTCTTTTTCACTGACCCTCCACTTTACCAAACATGAGGTCCTTCTCCCAGGACTGGTCCCTCTTGACAATATATCTGAAATATGAGATATGAAGTCTGGTCATCCTCTCTTCTAAAGGGCATTCTCGTTGTACTTCTAACACAGATCTATTTGTTCTTTTGGCTGTCCATGGCAATGTCCTCCCCCAACACCATAACTCAAACGCATCAATTCTTCTATGGCCTTCCTTATTCAATGCATATGAGGTTACTGAAAGTACCATGACTTGGGTAGGGTGCACCATAGTTCTCAAATTGACATCTTTGCTATTGAACCCTTTAAAAAGGTTTGTGCAGCCGATTTGCCTAATGCAATATACTGTTTGATTTCTTGACTGATGCTTTAGTGTTGATAGTTGATCTGAGAAGAATGAAGTCTTTGACAATTTCTATCTTATCTCTATTAATCATGAGTTATTTATTGGTCTAGTAGTACGGACTTTTTTTTTTTCTTTGCATTGAGGTACATCCCATACTGAAGACTGTGCTCTTTGATCTCCATCACTAAGTATGTTAAGTCCTCTTCACTTTCAGCAGCAAGGTTGTATCATCTGCATATTGCAGCTTGTTCATGAGTCTTCCTCCAATCCTGTTGCTATGTTCTTCTTTACATAATCCAGAAAGCTAATAGCAAGGATTATATCAATACAGAACAATAGAATATTTTTCTCCATCTGGAAATTCTGAAAATCCAGAGAAATACCAAAATAAACTCATAATTTTAGTTGTCTCAACAGAACGGCCTAGTTGTACTGTTGTTGTTGTTGTTGATAAGTGCCTTTGAGTCAGTCCAGACTCATAGCAACCCTGTATAGGTTTTCCAAGGAGCAGCTGGTGAATTTGAACTGCCAACCTTGTGGTTAAAACCAACCTTGCAGTACAGTGCATTATCCCACAGTGCCACATCACTTTATAATTATCAGTTGCAATAACCTATAAAAGCATAATTAATAGGGAACCCCCATCATAGAAAATTTTAAGTCCATGGTAGAAAGATAAGGCTTTCTTCTCTAGTAAAGATTTGCAGGCTCAGTAACCCTATACAGGGTTGCTATGAGTCAGAATCTACTTCATGGTACATAACCACCACCACCACCATTCCATCTAAAGAGTTGATAGTGAAAAATTTCCAGTGAAAAATGAGAAGAAGGTGTAGTGGATTTTTTATTAGAATCTCTGATTACCTATTTGACTCTGTAAAGTTTTATTATATGTAACTTGGGGGGGGGGACCATGGAAAAAGATCATATGCTTCATTTGATTATACATTCAAAACTAAATGATGGCAACCATTTTATTATAATCATTGATCATGGTGGCAGCAATCAAAAAATCAATAAATGTATTACATTAGGTAAATCTACTGCAGAATATTTCCTTACAGTGTCAAAGAGCAGAGGTGTCACAATGAAAACTAAAGTGTGTCTGACTCAAGGCATGGTATTTTCAATTGCCTCATATGCATGTGAAAGTTGGCAATAAATAAGGAAGAGTCAATGCATTTGAGTTATAATGTTAGATAACAGTATTAAAAGTACCATGGACTGCCAGTAAAACAAACAAATCTGTGTTGGAAGAAGTACAGCCAGAGTGCACCTTAAAATTAAGGACAATGAGATTTTGTCTTGCATTCTTTGCACATGTCAGAAGGGACCAGTCTCTGGAGAAGGACATCATGCTTGGAAAAGTGGAGGGTCATCAAAAAAAGAGGAAGAACCCCAACAAGATGGATTGACAATGGCTACAACACTAGACTCAAACATAACAACAATTTTAAGGATGATGGAGGACCAGGCAGTGTTATGGCACATAACAACAAAAACATCATTACAAACCAGAATGAAGTGGTATAAACAATGACAACAGAAAAAATAAATAATTGTGCTAACAAAACATTGGGAAGTTTGGATGAAAAATTAGAAGCATAAATGTTTGTTTTTAGATGGATATGAAGTAATGCCTGAAAGAAAAACACAGTTTTAGAGCATAACTACAACTCTCCTCACTTTTCTCACTTTTAATTCTTTCTTCTTCTTCTTCTTTTTTAATGTTAAAGGGATATTTTTGTAGCAATACCTTTTTATGGAGAAACAATTAGTTGAAGCTCAATTCTTCAGGCTCTCTTCTTCAAATAACTCTTGTATTTTAATTCTAAAATTACACTTATAATACTGTCTTGGTATATTTACTTTTTATGCACATACTGGTGTGACTCTGTAGGATAAGAATTCTACTGCAATGTCAGGTTGAACTGCAAAGTCAGCTGTTCAAATTCACCTCATATGCACTATACAAGGTAGCTACGTGTCGAAACCAACTGGACAACATTCAACAATCACACAAACTATTCATCTACTTATTCATAATTCTAAGGAGCTGGGGTAGTGTAGTGGATACAAGTCAGGCTGACAACTTCAAGGTCAGCAGTTCACAGCTACCAGCCATTCCACGAATGAAAGATGGGGCTTTCTGTTCCCATGAAGATTTACAGCCTCGGAAACCCTATGCAGGGTCACTCTACTGCATACACGACCATTCATGATTCTATATTTCTATTCATTCTTTTACCTGTGTATATTAATGAAGATGTCTGCAAAAGTCTTTGACAAATAGTTAACTATGCATGTTTCTGGGATCTGGGAGTTTAATCTCTTTCTTCCTTTCTTCCTATCTTCCTCCCTCCTTCCCTTTTTTCTTCTATGACTTCCTTCCATTCTTCTTTCTTTCCTTCCTTCCTTTTTTAATACTTCTCTATAAGGCTTTAATTTTAATGTTTTATAAGGAAGACCATAAAAGAATTGATGCTTTTGAATTATGGTGTTGGAGAAGAATATTGAAAGTGCCATGGGCTGCCATAAGAACCAATAGACCTGTGTTGGAAGAAGTGCAGCCAGAGTGCTCCTAGGAGGCCAGGATGGCCAAACGATCTCTCTCATACTTTGGACATATTGTCAGGAGGGACCAATCACTGGAGAAGGATATCATGTTTGGTAAGGTGGTGGGTCAGAGAAAAAGAGGAAGACACCCAGTGAGATGGACTGGCAAAGTGGCAGCATCAATTGGCTCAAGTGTGACAACAATTGTGAGGTTGGCCCAGGACCGGGCAGTGTTTTGTTCTGTTGTACATAGGGTCGCTATGAGTCGGTACCGACTCGATGGCACCTAACAACAACAACAACATCAGTTTTACAAAGAGACTATATTTATATAATTTTAAAAGGAGAAAATTCATTGTTTGCAATTGTTCCTTTATCTTCTGAAAAATACAAATAAAGCTTATGGCAAGCTGACATTAAGAAAAAAATGTATTCTTTACAAACCTACTGCCAGAAAATGAACCAGAAGGCCAATGGTTATTCCTAGAATTGCCAACACCCCAAACACAATGAGGGCAATCATCCATAGTGGCAAAGATGTACGAGAAGATGGAGTAGCTGGGACTGGCCTGCAAGTAAAAGATATAAATATAAAAATATATCAGAAAAAAAAATGTAGTCATTTGAAATCTATCTTTCTTTCTTCTTATTCACCCCTAGAAGTTCTAGAATTTAAGCATAATTTCAGAAAAGTGATTGCACAGTATTTAAGAGATCAGCTGCTAATATAAAGGTGAACAGTTCAAACTCACCAGTCACTTGGAAGAACAATGTGGCAGTAGGATTCCCTAAGGATTTAAAGCCTTGGAATTCTATGGAGCAATTCTACTATGATTTATAGAGTTGTTTTGAGATGGAATAGGCTTGAGTGCAATAGGGTTGGGGATTTTTTGGAGCAGCAAAAGACATTTGAAGGAAAAAGACATGCGATTGTCTTTAAGTTCACCATGGAACCTCTCTGAATCTATACTTTGGAATTATTTTTCAGCAGTACACAAGTTGGTGTCAAGTTACCTATATTTGACATCGAGGTCTCTCTTATGACCAATGAATATGAACAAAGCTACAATAAATGAAAGCATTGCATAATGAGGAACAAAAGGGAGATGGAAAGAAGTTCTTTATGTCTGGTGGTCATGGTGGTATGCTGTGGAATTGGTTCAGACTCATAGAGACCCTATGTAGTGTTTCTGAGCCTGTAAATCTTAGGGATCAGAAAGCTTCATCTTTCTCCCACAGAATGACTGGTAGTTTCAAACTGCTGACCTTGAGGTTAGTAGCCCGACTCGTAACCACTATGCTACCAGAGCTCCTTTCTTTATACCTAAGCTTATCATAATATTTAAGAATATGATCGGGATCCTAAAATATTTATTATGTCTTTATTATCTATAAGGAGTCCTGGTGAGGCTTTGTGGGTTAATGCACGGGACTGCAAAGTCATTTAACCCGCAAGGTCAGCAGTTCAAGCTTACCAGCTGCTCATTGAAAACCATATACAGGGTTCCTCAACACTATATACAAAAAACAACACAAACATAAATTGTTACATTAGGTCAAAACAGCTCACTAGCTAATTTCCCAAAGTGTGGCAAGGACATTCCAGAAAGCATTAACAGCATGCAACACTCAGAAAAATACCAGTCATTCAATTTTGTTGCAGCAAATGGTCATGAGTTGGCCAAAAATTAAGTTGAACAGAGAGGCAGCAACAAGTTCAACAGGATACATGACACCACATGATATGGAAATTTTGTCTTATATGTTGTTAAATGCTGTTGAGTTGGTTCTGACACATATTGACTCTGTATAGGGTTTCTGAGGAGCAGCTGGTGGGTTTGAACTGTCAATGACCTTCATCAGAATCATCCAGGGTGCTTGTTTAATATGCAAATTGAAGTATCCTACCCCAGACCTATTGGATTCAAATTTCAGGAAGGACCTGGGAACTTGAACTTTGAAACTCAGTGATGCAGATTCTCAGTATGTTTGATGATCATGAGAAAGTATTGAAAAATTTTAAACTAGTCAAGGGACTTTGTTAAGTTTTTCAGGTTAGACATAGTATAGGTGGCAGAGTGTTTGATGTATTAGATCATAGAAGTGTTTGTAGCAGTTCCCATTCATAGCCACCCTGTATGGGGTTTCTAAAGTTGTGATTATTTACAAAAGCAGGAAGCTTCACCTTTATCTCAAGAGGATACTGGTATATTCCAACTGCTGATCTTGTGGTTAGCAGCCCATCTTTTAGGTTAATGTGTCAGACTGTGAAGTTGCTTTGAACCACAAGGTCTGTGGTTCAAGTTAACCAGCTGCTCCTCAGAAATTCTATACAGGGTCACTATGAGTAGGAACCAACATGATGGCACTTAACAACAACAACAAACAGGAAAGGGTGGTGGGTTTGAATTGCCAACCTTGTGGTTAGCAGTCCAGTGCTTATCTTACAGTACCAAGTACCACACCAGGATCTTAGATAAATATAAATTGGGTTGATGATTTCAGGAGAAAAAAGCACTTTAAAAACATCCAGCCAGCGAACTAATGGAACTTGTGAACATCACTCTTCATAACTCTAAGATTAGAAGAACTAGACATTGCCTGACTACCACTACCAACTGTCCTGAAACACATCACATTAGAGATTCCCAGGTAGAGGAACAAAGATAAAAATTATTCATTAAAAACAAAGAACAACAGATTTACTTGTCAGAAAAAGACGAAGGACCTGTGACTATGACCCTCAACCATCCTTCAGGTCTAGAAAAGAACTCACCCTTATGGTCTAATATTTAGTCAAGCAGTAGGTAGGTTTATAGGTGGTGGCATACAATCACCACCACAATCCAGTATCTTCTGTAAGCTGGGCTACTAACCTCAAGGTCAGCAGTTCTAAAGTACCAGTTGTTCCAAGGGAGAAAGAGGAGGCTTTCTGCTACCATAAAGATATACAACCTCAGAAGCCCTATGCAGGGTTGCTATAAGTCAGAACAGACTCCATGGAACACCACCTCCAAAAGAACAACACTAACAAGATATCATTCAAATACCTTGTTATCAGTCATTCAAAGTCAAAAGGGCAACATTTTCCTAAGGGCAAGGTTGAGAAGGGTTAGGAAAATGGATGGAATGCAAAAAGAACCACCCAGAGGAAGGGCTTGTTGCATGGAGAGGATTGTAATAATTGTGATGAAACACATGGTATGAATCACTGAATGTAAAGCTTATGATCTTGTCTATAAACCTTCATTCAATTCACAATAAAAAGTTAAAAAAAAAATCTGTCATCTGTTGTTTTGTACAAGCCTCCAGCATCTTGTCTGATTAAACTGTACTTCTTACTTATATCACTGACATAATGGACAGCATCAGAAGAGAATATTCACAATCCACCATCATATTTATGAATTTATCTTCATCTGTACCCTTCCCTCAAATTTCTGTAATTAAACTATGGCTTTATCTAAAGTCAACCTCTCCTCACACTTCAACATGTAACCTATTTTCCAGTTGTTTCAATGACTCTTTGGATACACCAAAGTGTTTTAGACTTCCATATAGTGAGTTGTTGTTAAATGCCGGCAAGTCAGTTCTGACCCATAGCGACCCTGTACAAGGTTTCCAAGGGTGTAAACCCTTACGGGAGTAGAAAGCCTCATCTTTCTCCCGGGGAGCAACTGGTAGTTTCGAACCACTGACCTTAAGGTTCGCAGCCCAATTCGCACGCTACCAGAGCTCCTTATAGTTCTTTTTAATTAAAATGTTTACCCAAGTCTACACACTGAGCTTTCACTCAATTTTCACCAATAAACTCTGTCATATCCTCATCACAAAAGTCTTCTTTGGCCCATTATTTATACGTCAGTCTTTCCACTTCTATCTATAAGCATGTTATGATTAGAGGCAGTCATTTTGTTTTTTATACCCAGGGCCTAGCTCAGTGTTTATTACATTTGTTGAAGGAAGGAATGAATGAAGACAAAGAGAATCAGTCAACTATATCATGGGAGCTAGATAGGTCAGAGGGATCTGGATTATGGAAAGTCAATAATGCTAGTAAAAAATGATTTGACTTTACCCCCTCCAAGACTGAAACACAAAGGGAGCACATGAGCAGGCATGTAAGCTTGCTGGCAACCACATTGGTCTACTGGTGAGTAGAAAAAGGGGGAAAGGTAGCAATGAAGAAATGGGCTAAGTTCAACCACGTTCCATAGACTCCCATTGACCTGGAGATGAGAGGGAGAAGAGGAAGGGCTGGTTGATTTGAAGTGTGGTGAGATCTAGGGACTCCTGAGCCCATGGACAAGGACTTGGCTATGGAGGGTTAGAGCTGAGAGTGAAGTATCCAGCTGATATGAAGTGAGGTTAGATGTATAAGAATGCTCAAACTTGCAGATAGTACCCATTTGACATAGTTTTGATGGTTTGATAATCAGAA